TTCCCTCCTGTTTGCTTGCTCATTCTCTCATGCTCCCTATCTCACTGCTTTTCTTTCTTGCTCTCTCCATCCCAGTACTCTCACAAGATTTCTCTGTATATCTCACGTTCACTCATGTACTCACTTTCCTCCCCATCCCTCTCTCTCTCTCTCCTATCACTTTACCCGTGTCCTCCCAGGGAGCCTACTTTCAAGACCTGCCTTCACCCAGCTCTGGAAAAAGAAGGAATAAGCAAAAAGAACCAAGTCCCCATCACTGGCCTCTGGCACTCGCCGCTCTTTCTGCCTCACCTGCAGCATCTCGAATTATTCCCCTATTCAGCCTGTAGGTCCTGAGTGAACTAAATTGGGTGACACCTCTGCCTTCACCCTGGCCTCTCCTTTCTACCTGAGTTCCTGCTCTTTCCTTCTCTTTGTCTCCTGGAACAATACCTCTTCTAAAAGCCCTCTCTTGTTACAGCAGTCTGTATCACCGGCCGTGCCCTGGTCTTAGCTCTGTGAGAAGTCTGTAAACCCAGAATTGTAACTGCCAGCTTCCTGGTCTCAAATGAGTGTTTGAATTACTGGAAGACAGTAATGATATCTTATTCATCTTCTTACCCCAAGCATTTAACTAAACTCTGTGCTTGGTACCAGTATGATGGTCATTAAGTGTCTCTTGAAATTCATTCACTCTTGAAACTATTATTAGATGATTATGCTTATGTCACGGGTTGTGCTAGTTGCTGATGGGGAAACTACGTAGTCCTGTTGCAATGGAGCACAAAGGTGACCCACACAGGAGCATTGATCTTGGAGCTGGGTTCACGGTGAGAGGTGAATAAACTACAGTGGACAACAGTCTGTTTCTCAGCAAGTCTAACAAAGCCAGTTATTCCTCCTTTGGTGGAAAAGTGGGCTTTTCCTTGGTTTCAGCAGCAGTGAAGTGGTTGGCTTACCTTATAGGTACAAGTTGTCATATGAAGAGCATCTATTTTTAGATACCCGGGGCAACACCAGGTCTACAGCTCATATTTGGCACTCCTTTGAGGACGTACACACACTGAGTAGATTGAATCGTAGAGCCAAGGGCATCTTATCTCTTTGCCTCCCACTCCTGCCTATATAGATGAATTCACACGAGTTTGTTGTGTATGATACAACTACTATATAGAGTGATCATACTGTTTTAGATGGGTTGAACAGAGTAATTCACTCTACGTTGATGAGACAGACAACTTGACTGACAAGTTGTTGACATCTGAACTCAACCTTAAATACCATGCAGGTTGGAACATAGCAGAGGTGTATGTGTGCTTTACTGGGAAGCCTAGTTCTTCTACAGAAACTTGAGTGAGCCTTGGCCATTACTGGTTCTTGAGTTTCTCTCTTGGACCCCATGGAGTCAGTATTTCTCTTGAGTGTTTTTTCTTTCATTGTTCTGGCAAGTTCCCCTCTATCCCACAGCTATTTGGAAACGACTGTTGTACCAAGCCTCAGTGCTAACAGCATTTAAAAGCTGTTATTAGAAAGCAAGCTTCTGCTTACCAGTCAGCCTGCTGTGAATGGTAATGGGAGATTTCTTTTTTGGGAGTAACCCCAATCTCTAATTGGTTTGAAAAATATTGCTCATTTATTTTATTCTTAAGATGTTACCTTTTTAGTGAACTTCAATAAGTTTGTGTTTCTATTAAATTCAAATTCAACATAGCTCTATTCTACTAAAAGGTTTTTTAAAAAAATTTTTACTGCTATCTAGGTAACCTGCCCACTTTCATTGTTGCTTGTTGAAATAAATGCATGTATAGTGCAGCCACTATGGAAAACAATATGGAGATTCTTTGAAAAATTAAAAATAGAGCTGCTATAATACCCAGCAATTCTACTTCTGGCTATTTATTCAAAGAAAACAAAGCACTGATTTGAAAAGGTATATGCACCCCTGTGTTCAATACAGCATTATTTACAATAGCCAAGATATGGAAGCAACCTAGATGTCTATCAATAGATCAATGATGGGTAAAGAGGATGTGGAGTGTGTGTGTGTGTGTGTGTGTGTGTAATGAGAAATTATTCACCATTAAAAAGGACGAAATCTTGCTATTTGCAACAACACAAGTGGACTTAGAGGGTATTATGCTAAGTGAAATAAGTCAGAGAGAGAAAGACAAATACTGTATGATTTCACTTACATGTGGAATCTTAAAAAAAAAAAATCAGAAACAGACTCATAGATACAGAGAACAAGCTGATGGTTGCCAAATGGGAGCGGGGTGGGAGGATAGGGAAGAAAGAAGGAAAGAAAAATAAAGAAAAGGGGGGTGAGAGGATGGAGAAAGAGATGCACGTATAAATACACAGGCATACATTAAGCATTTCACATGTATTATATCATTTAGTCCTTTCAACAACCTTAGGGACTAGGTATTACTATTTCTATTTTGTAGATGAGGAAACCGTGTTCAAGACAAGGCGTGTACCTTGTCCAAGGTCCCAGCTCTAGCACCTGGCATGAATGAAGAATCAGTAGGTTTTCTGGAGAGCTGACTTTGAGTCTCATCACTGCTACATGTTAGCTTTATGACCTTGGGACACATCGTGTGCATTCTCTGAATGGCTTTATCAGCAATGAAGTACAAACCTTCCTTGTATTTTCTGAATAGCATTCTGGCAAAAATCAAAATTAAAAATGAGAGTTCATATAATAGCACTTTCTAAAACAGTTAAGTGCTGAACAAATATAAGGTATTCTTTTCTCATATGCTTTGTGTAGTTAATTTAGCATATTGAAATAATGGGATTTTAAAATGGCATGCAACACACACATATATGCTTAGCAATTAGTGTAGCATAATTTAATTGTGATTCCATTGTTGGAATTTTGATGCCTCAAGCTTGATGAATAGCCATTTTCTGTGGGTGTTATCAATTAATCTAGGTAATGAATTCTCTTCATTATCTTGTTCTTCATGTTAATTATACAGGATTCTCTTATACCTATTTATCAAGTCAGGACAAGTACAGTTTTTTTTTGGCCTACACGCCTTTGAATATAAATACGCACAAATAGGTTAACATGACATGTTTAAATTTACATTTCAGTGTAAATTTAAGTCAGTGATTTGACTTTCCTTATATCCTTACTTGTATGAGTTTGTATCTTTCTTTGGGGGTTCTTTTTTTTTTTTTTAATCAAAATGATTGCTATCTAAGATAATGAAGCTATCTCTGACTTTTGAGAATATATCTCTAGCATATCAAAGCATGGAAAAGTTTCTATCTTTGCCTGTTAATACAAACAACAAATAATTAATAAGTTTCTAGTTTTGAAATATTCCATAAGGCACCATAACAGATAAATTTAAGTATAAACTATGGGGAGAAAAAATACTAGTGAATAAAATTTTAAATGACACTATTCATCAAGGAACAACTTCAGAAAACTATTTTAAAAAGCAGAAGAGAGTATGTAATAAATGAATGGTGATTTAATTCATTTTGAGGTCAAAGAAGTGATTGACGAGATAATATGGATTAATATGATAATGTTACATATAGGTATTAATTCAGTACTAAATTTTAACTTTCTTAATATTTTCTAGGCCTTTTGTTTTATATTTTATGTTCTATGTTGGAAAAAAAAAAGTATATTTTTATTTGTCTCTATTGTTTAGCCAGCTATTTTCGAGAATGTTGGCTATCAGCATTTTGATAGGCACCTTCTTATTTTTGATTTCAGGTTGAAGCCATCCTTGTCAATATTTTTGGTGGCATTGTCAACTGTGCCATCATTGCCAATGGGATCACCAAAGCGTGCCGAGAGCTGGAACTTAAGGTGCCCTTGGTGATTCGGCTTGAAGGTGAGTGACGGGCACTTTCCACAGTTCTAGTCTCATTCTCCAAGGTCAGGTGACCAGAGTGTTATGCATTCATAGACTTCCTGAGAAATCAAAGGAAACACTGGATTAAATAAAATCAAATAATTGCAGTACAGCAGTACGTCTGTGAGCATCTAACAGGCTAATATAGATTACAGCTCTCCAAGAATGGCATATATTATGATTCTCCACATTTTCAATACTTATTCCAGTGTGGAGCCCTTTTATTATGAATCATTTTATGAGATTAGTGTTTTGAAAGAAACACTCTGAGAAATGCTGCTCCAAGAATTATTCATCATGGGAAGGCAATGGCTCTCAAAACCTTTTGGTCTCAGCTCTTCCTTACTTGTTAAAATTGTGGAGCACAAGGAGCTCTGCTTTATTTAGGTCATATCTGTCGATGTTTATTGATTAATTTAATAATTTAATTATTTTGGTAAGAGAAGTAAATACTGGAACTGTAAAAATATTTTTAAATAAAATTTTAATTTAATTTTATTTTTATATTATACATTTATACATAAATATATGTACTGTATATTTTATGAACCATAACATAAGTACTTTCTTAAAATTTTAATAAAAATAGCAGCATTATTTTACAGTTTCAAAATTTCTTTAATATGTAGCTTAATATTTGCTTCTTCATTTTATCTTTTGCAATATGTAGTTTTGGTTAAAGTATATGAAGAAAATATGGCCTCATATAGAGCTATATATTTGTAAAAGGGAGAAGTTTTTAAGAATCATTCCATATAATTTTGAATATTCTTCTCTTTGGCACTACATTAAAATCTACAAGTAATAGTTTCTTTATTAAATATTAGTTTTATGTGTAATCTGAAACTACTTCAATGAACTTTTGATACACTGTTATGCTAAAATACATCAGTCTGTCTTGCACATTAAATGGATTTTATGCATGCATGATTTGTCCATTTATCCATTGCATGATTTGTCCATTTATCCATTGCTCATGAGGAAAATTTTACATAATGTAGATCTTCCAAACGTTGACACATTTCAACATACAAAGTCAGAAAATTCGCATTTGTTAATATCACACCATTCTCCTCAGAGAAGCTTCCAAGTACTGGGAAGCTATCAAGGTGGTAGATGAAAATTTTCCAGAATTCTAATTTTCACTTAAAAGTACAAATTTTATCATCAGCCACAAAACGGTCAGTTGTTTCCCTTGAAATGACAGACTCACTTTACTTATTTTTGAGAAAGTGTCTACCAAATCACTAAGTCTGAACAACCATCGTGTGTCCTTCATTATTCCAAGAAAAAATAGTGTTCAATGGAAAAGTGGGTCCTTTAGCTTGCTAGTCAAACAATTGCACAAAAACTTTTCCTACGAACAACCACCATTGTTCAGTATGCAGTTTATGTATACTTCTCATTTGGTCACACAGGGTATTAGAAAGACCTGCACTTAATGTTTGAGATTTAATAAAATTAATATTGTTTTTACTGTTCATTAAGGACATTCTTACTTAAAAGTGGCAACATTTTATTGCAAGTATGTGGTGGTGAAAAATATAATGACTACTAGTACAGTTTGGTGCCACTGCTTTGATTCGATAGTAACATGCCAATAGCTTCATCCACCATTACTTTTGCTTCATCAGTGCAAATGCCAACAGAGTATTATTATTATTATTATTTTATTATTACCAATAGTTTGTTTGTTTTTTATGTCAGGGACCTCCCCCAGGGTTCTATGGACCATACTTTGAAAACTACTGTAGCAGAGAAGCAGAAACAGACATTTTAATGTGAAGAGCTATGTAACAGCTGTGTCACCATTATCAAAAAAAACTCAGATTACAATGATCAAGCACCCCCCTTGAGTAGATTTCTATAGTATCCTTCTTGGGATAGCTCGATTCCCCCAGCTTTCCTGCTGGTGCTGTAAATCTCTAAAGACATTCTTTTCAAGGTGAAGTCCAGGGGTATTTTGACCCTGCTATGTATTCCTGTCTTTTGTGATCAAGACTCCAGAACAACTGCAGCCTGTTTTTCTCCGCTTCTTCCTTTGTGTCTCTTTCTTCTCTCACTCTCTGCCACTCTCTTTTCTCTCTCTGAGCCTCTCTGCCTCACAAACTTATATCAGGACAATATGCACTTGATAGAAATAATGATCGCAAAAGAAAAATGAAAAAAGCAAAAGCTCCAGTTGGCAAAGTTTATAGGGACATTAAAACATCTGAGTGAATTAAATCTTAAAAATATAAATATAAATCAGAAGTCTATCTGAGCTAGTAGGAAGAAGCTTTGAAATCTCTAAATTTATTAAACAATCAGATTTGCATCTTTTAAGTTAATGCACTCCCAAGGTATATGCCTGTGGGTTTTTAATTAGCTAATTAATATAATAAATACTGTGTGCAGGTTATTGAGCTTTAGGCATTAAGGAGGATGTATAGAAATATAAGAAACGATCTTAGTTACTGGATAACTAGGGAAATAAAACAAAAAGAAAGAAAATTTAACAATACAAGATAATATAGCAAGTGTTTGCTGTACTAGAATCTGCTTCTATCTTTGTAGCAATGGTCATCAAGACTTCTCAGAAAGCCACCAGTGTGGCTTGTGGAATCTTCAGAAATATTGATACCAAACAGTGTCCTCTGTATCATGGGGAGTTGAAGGTGAAAACTCAAGATGAGATCAAAGAGGATACTGTCTCACAAATTTATATAGGCTAAAAATATGCACAGACACCTTCTTTGGCACCACCCTCTTTTCACATAATGGTCTCTGTCCTATAGTAAGCACCTAGGACTTTCATCAAGAGAGGAAAAGCAGAAGAGCTTTTGGCATTTCTGGAGTCCTAGCTGGTATTCTTTTCTTCCTGTTGTGGGCTAAATGTCCTTAGGTAAATACAGGCTTTCACACTCAGCATGGCCCCACACCAAGGACACTCACTAATAAAGATATTTGATTTCTGAGAAACCAGCAGGTTAAGACCTATCCCAAAATTGTATTGGCCCTTCATGATAAATAAGGAAAAGAGGAAAAATTCTGCTTCAGCTCTACTCTTGGCACTAATCATAGATAACAAAATGCAGAAAACGGGAGATGGTATGATTTATAAAGGCCCTATAAAGCTGAGTGTCTGCTGTAGCCCAGCCCACTTTCATTGGTGCACCCCTGTTCTTAAACTTACTCAGTATTGACTACTATAATTATATTATATTTACATATGTGAGTTAGCAAAGAATTATTGTAAAAGGAAAATGTCCAAGTTAAACGTGGAAATAAGTAATATTTGAATCATGGAATTGAGTAAAGATCAAAAGCAAGTCATCAGATCTGTTTCATACTTGGGAGTTGATATTGGGACCCTAACAGTGATAGACTGAAACTCAGTAGATCAGAAGGCTGACCTGAGAGAGTAATGATTGCAGCAACATGTTATGGCTAAAAGAATGGACTGGGAAAATCAAGTTATGAGCCAGAGTCCATGACATTAGAATCTAAAACCCAGGCAGGATTATCATATAGAAGTAAAAATGGAATAGAATCAAGAGCAAAGAGAAAAGTAGGTGAGAGAAAAAGCGGGGAGCTAGGGTTTTAAATCTATTGACCAAGAGAATAATGGTATAGCCAGTGGATATGGGAAAGTCAGAAGTGGGAAATATACAGAGAAGAGAAGAGTATTACAGTTGGATTTAGCCATCCTTAGTTCGAGATGAAGCTGATGGAATGCCTGTAGAGGTAGAGATGTAGGAATACGGGGAATGATCCATGGAGAGGTGTGATAGGCAAATGGATGTTACTCCCATTTTGAAGGCCCCCAGTAAACCACGCTCAGGACTTGCTGAATTGGAAATTGTTCTGCAGTACAGCTCTGTTAAAGTGAGAAACCAACCAAAACCAAAAATCTCCTGTCACAGGAAGTCTGGGTTCTCAATGCTCCTGATGAGAAAAAGTTGCTAACTACAGGGACTTTTGAGGAGTTTCTCAATCTAACTTTTCCATTTGCTTTCCTCTGGGTTGGAACATAAATTCTTCTCTTCTCACAAATCTTTCTGCATTCAGTTGTGTTTTACCCAGCCTTAGAGTATGATTTAGTTCCTTCTGTTTTTCTAAACAGAGCAACTCTTCATTGCCTTTGGTCACAGAGAAAGACAAAAAGCAGGAACGTTTTGGACAATTCTCGTGGTAGTTTCTATATAACTTACATAGCACTATACTTTCTGTCATAAGTGGTGAATTTCTTAGTGATCTTTATTTTAATATTAAAATTGGTTCACATTTCCAGAATACACACTAATGTCTAGCTAGTGAAAGTGAAATGAGAAAGGAGTGTCTGTGATCATCCCAACATTATGATAAAGCTGAGTGATACATAAAAACTAAGTATGGTAGATAAATTTTACTGGAGTCTGAATTATAATAATAATTGTCATTGCTAACTTTCCTTAATTGCTTTCTAAGTTTCAAATACTCTGATACATGGCTGTGTAGTCTAAACAAATGTGAGATTTTTGATGACCAAGATAACAGATATTTCAAAAGCCCGATAATATGTTTTATTAGTAGCATCTATGTCTTATACATAAAGAAGGTGGCCTCTCTTGGTAGTTTTTCAGCCATTTGGAAATCCCGGCATCCTTGCCATGAGTCTCACCAATCTGTGGCCCACATTTTGAAGACTATTGCTACACACAGTGTATTAGGAATGTCCTTATGAGGATAGTTTTAATCAATCAAATCAGACTTGATTTAGTGGGATTTTGTGGACAAATCTTTGTTCTTAGCTGTATAATAATTACAAGCTGTTTTACCAGTGGATAAGAAAGGATTACTCTCCTCTTTGAAAATGGTAACTTTGTAATTACATGTATTTACCTGCCTTATCAGAATAGAACTCACCAGCTGAGACAGGATTACTTTTATTTAAAAGACTCCTGGGTAGATTGAGCAACCACATTTTGGTGGGGAGTTTAGATTTTGTAGACAGTTGT